GTCTCTCCGGACCGCAGGTAGACACTCTAACCGCTGAGCCAAACCTGCCAGGGCCCAACCCTTTCTTTTAAAAAAAAAAAAAAAAAACTTGTTCAGCCCTGGCCGGTGAGGCTCAATTGTGGCTCAGTCCCCCCAGGTGGAGGGCATGCAGGAGGCACCTGATTGATGTTTTGCTCTCACATTGATGTTTCTCTCTCTCTCTCTCTCTCTCTGGAAATTAATGGAAAATCTTAAAAACAAACAAAAGAAGAAAAAAACTTGTCCAAAATTATACAACTATCAAGTGGTTCAGCCAGATTCAAACCCAGGCAGACTGGCTCCTTATATCAAGGGGCAAAAATTAAACTAACGTTGCCCTTTTTTTTCCCCCTTGTTGCTATGTAGGAAACTAGCCTAGAGTTTGTACTGTGCTTCACTGAACTTTTCATTTTAAATCAATTCTAACAATATTGTCTTAAGGAGAAATAGAAATTCTGAAAACTTATCTTAATGGGGCCTCAGGAGATCCCATGTCCCCCAAATAAACAGCAGACAACTTGCCTCAGTTGGTGCAGAGATGGCCAGAGGATGCGGGAAGCCACCAGCCAGGGTTAGGAGCTATAAGGTTCTCATCGTTAAGTCAGGGTTTACAAAACTGCAGATATGCTGGGCACTGTTACTGCTAAATTGAACACACTCCCCTGCCCCCCAACCTTTAATGCTTAGAGTCTCCTGTTTTATCTACCCTCTTGTAAATGCATTCCTTCTGAGGTGCAGCCTCAATAATTAAGAGGAAATTTAGATTTCCAATATGACTAGGGTATTACCTATTTATCTATGGGAAACAAATATTGACAAGGATCTATACAACCCAGGAAGCCAGCTCCTTGCCCTGCCCCTAAGCAGATAGTTGAGCTGACAGCCTAGATTCCTTGACTATTTCTTCTACTCTCTGGGACTCTCAACACAGCTATGGGGCCATCAAAGGACCAGGATATCATTCCAAGGGGACGCCTCACAAGAACTCACTGCTCACTGCCCTGGGGGCAGAAGCCTTAATAAAACTGAAACCACAAAGAAAGACCTGAAGTCACAGCCAGGGACCACAGCCACTGGAAGCAGTTTCCTGGATATTCTCCTTGAATTGTAGAATACAAAAAGGTTTCACTCTAGTTGGGGAGCTGACCTACAGTAATGCTGAAGTGTCCCTTCAGGCTTGTAGGAGTTGTTAGCCTCCCTGATCTGAACATCCTGTAAACTGCATTCCTCACCTGCTATTCTGCAGGCCAGAACCAAACCAAGAGAATTGTGTTACTTTCCTTCCTCATTGTTACACTGGGGGTCGGTCTCTCTCTCTCTCTCTCTTCCTGGTCAGCATCATTATAAAAGTAAAGAGATCCCTTCTTATACCCTTTTAACTTATTGCTGCAGTCGTTTTCTCTGGTCTACCCCTAGAGAGAGCTAGGAATTCAAGAGTTTGTTCCTAAAGGAACCTGAACATTTATCCTCCCTTATTCAGGGTTTCTTGAACCCATGTATAGGTGTGCAAACCATGTACATTCACATACACAACCTCACTCAAGAAAAACATTAGGTAAGAAACAGTATTTTAGGGTAACTGAGCAACCTGTCATCAATTCCTGGCAAAAGCATAAGGGTAAAAGCCAAGCCTGGCCTGTGTGGCTCAGTGGTTGAGCATCAACCCATGCACCAAGAGGTCGCTGTTTCGATTCCTGGTCAGGGCACATGTCCAGGTTGTAGGCCAAACCCCCAGTGGGGGGCGTGCAGGAGGTGGTCAATCAATCTCTCATCAATGTTTCTATCTCTCTCCTTCTCCCTCTAACATCAATAAAGAAAAAAAAAAATTTTTTTTAAAGCCAGGTATATGTGCTGTAGGCTCCCTTCTGCTAATTTTCCTCTCTGCCCTGAATACAACAGATGTGCTGAAGGCTGAGGAGTCTCCAGCCCCAATTACTACAAACCACCAGACACACAAGGAAAAGGCCCCTTAAAGAAACAGGTAACTCAGCCCTGGCCGGTTTGGCTCAGCGGTTACAGCATCAGCCCCATGCACCAGAAAGACCTGGGTTTGGTTCCCACTAAGGCGCGTACCTCAGCTGCAGTTTGTTCCACCTAGCCCAGGTTGGGGTCGTGTGGGTGGCAACAAGTCGATGTTTCTTTCTCTTCCCCACTCTCTCCTTCCTGCTCTGTCTGAAAATAAATGCAAATGCCCTGGCCGGTTTGGCTCAGTGGTTAGAGCATCGGCCTGCGGTCCCGAGGGACCCAGGTTCGGTTCCCGCTAAGGGCATGTACCTTGGTTGCAGTTTGTCCCCGGCCCTGGTTGGTCATGCGGGTGGCAGCCACTCGATGTGTCCCTTTCACATCGATGTTTCTCTCTCTCTCTCTCCCTCCTACTCTATCTGAACAAAAAGTGTCCTCGGGTGAGGATGAAAAAAAAAAAGAAACAGGTAACTCTTAGGAACTTCAACCTAGTAAAGTCATTAGTGAAGGGTCTCACTGATGTCCCTAAAACATTTCATCATTATCTCCCTGTCTCACAACAGTGAAGAAATAGGTCTGGGGGAAAAAAACAAAATGGAGTCAATAATCCAGAAACCTGAGTCCTAGTTCTAGCTCTATTCCTGACCACATGTGTGGCCTTGGACAAGTTATCTAAATTCCCTGGGCCTCAGTTCCCTTACTCCACATGAAATGAAGCATCCTGGACTACATAAATTCTTTTTGTTTATTTTTATAAGAATTTACTTGATCCAAACTGATGATATATGCCGGGAGCAAGATCTCAAATACTTCCGTGGACTACATAAGTTCTAAGGTGCTCTACAAGTCCCATGATTATAAGATTTAACATATAAAACAAAAATAGGTAAATTAGGGGGTAATTATGTTATAAAAGGTGTCCTGGCTTTACCACTAACTGACTTTGCTCTCTTGGGGCAACTCTCTTAACTTTTAAAGTGAAAAGAAATAGTCTCTTTTATTTAAGCAGTAGAATCTTTAGACTGAAGTCACACACCCCCTTAGAGAACCGAGTTCTTAAGAACTCAGTTTCCTCACCTGTGAAATGAGAGGGTGAGCTACACTGCCTCTAAGTTTCGGTTTAATTCCAAAACGCTGTGATCTATATTGGATTTACTACAGGGGATTTTAAAGTTAGGCTTCTTTAGTACATTTTAATGGATTCACTTTATTTTATTTATTTTAGTACTCTGTTGTTGTTAATCCCCACCTGAAGATATATTTTTCATTGATTTTTAGAGAATGAACAGAGGGAGGGAGAGGGAGGAGGAGAGAGGGGGAGAGAGAGAGACATGAATTCGAGAAAGACATACTAACTGGTTGCCTCCTACATGCGCCCTGATGGGGGCTGGGGAGCTAACCTGCAACCAGTACCTGACCTTGACCAGGAATCAAACCCGAGACCCTTTGGTGCATAGGCGAACCTTCTAACCACTGAGCAACACCAGTGGTTAGAAGGGCTATTTTATATTTTAATTTTTATTTATTGCTATTTAGAGAGAGAGAGAAACATCAATTTGTTATTCCACTTATTTATGCCTTTCTTGGTTGATTTTTTATTTTTATTTATTTTTTCTTTATTGATTTTAGAGAGAGAGGAAGGGAGAGGGAGAAAGAGATAGAAACATCAATGAGAAAGAACATCGACTGGCGCCTCCTGCATGCCCCCTATTGGGAGATCAGGTCCACAACCTGGGCATGTGCCCTGACTGGGAACTGAACCGGCGACCTCTCAGTGCACGGGCCGATGATCAACCACTGAGCCACACCAGTCAGGCTGGTTGATTTTTTAAAATTAAATTTATTGGGGTGACATTGGTTTACAGGATCATATATTTCAGGTATGGATTTCTATGTTACAAGATCTATACATTGCACTTGTGTGCCTAACACCAAACATTGGTTGATTCTTGTATGTGCCCTGATCAGGGATTGAAATGCAACCTTGGCATATCAGGACGACATTCTAACCAACTGTGCTACCAGGTCAGGGCCTTAATGGCTTCACTTTACAAAAGAATCCAGTGGGTATACAATTCTTCAAGGATTCATCTAACACCTAAAATGAAGCCTACCAGGCCTCAAAGGCCAGCAAGGACCTCTCACTTTGTTACCAGCACCAAGCACTATTTGTATCATTATCCCAAATCTCATCTTCATCCGAAATACACAGTTCCCTTGACAGGAGAGACAAGTAGAAGAAACAGAAAACACAAATCCTTGTCCTCAAACTAAAGAGTAGACTTGAGCCTAGTAACTGAGTACAAAACATATAAAACATAAAAAGACAAAATTTACTAAGCAATTTACCAACAAATATAAGTTAACAGCTGCATGCTCTCTCTCTGGAGCTCTCTCTGGAGTACTCCCGAGCCTTTCCCCTTCTTTTCCCCCAGGCATGTTACCTTTGCCTTTCTTTCTCCTAAGCTCCAAATGCCCTTGCCCTTGTTTTGCCTCTTGTCACTTATTTCCTAATCCCACACAGCCCAGCTGGCTCACTTCTACCTCTGTGACTTTTTAAATAAACTCTCCTCTGATCTGGAAAAAAAAAAGTTAATAGCTAACGTAAGAGATATATATGCACAGAACAGCCCTGGCCAGTTTGCTCAGCGGTTAGAGCACCAGTCCATGGACTGAAGAGTCTCTGGTTCAATTCCTGGTCAGGGGCACGTATCTGGGTAGCAAGTTCGATCCTTGGCCATGGATGAGGTTGTGCAGGAGGCAACCAATTGATGTATCTCTCTTACACTGATGTTTCTCTCTCTCCCCCACTCCCATCCACTCTATCTAAAACTCAATGGAAAAAATATCCTAAGGTAAAGATTAACAACAACAAAAATGCAAAGAACAGAGTTATGTGAGCCAAACATGAAAAGGTTTATGCAGAAAGTTTGAAGAAGCAGATTTTCAAGAGAAGCAATCCAGACTGGCAGAGAAGAGGGTTGAAGCCTGGAATGGGATTCTAAGTCAAGGCTCTTTACCTTCCAAGTGTTGGGGGGCAGGTTCCCTGTTCACAAGGCTCCAACCCCCTGATGCCTCCACTCAGTGCCACTCAGGAGATACTCCCAGTAGCCCATCTTGTTGGCTATTCTCCAACTGAGTCTTCCTTCCCAGTGATAAGCTCCATCACCAAGGGGATGGATGTGATGTCACAATCGGGAGCACTCTATTAATAGGAACAAAGAAGAAAAAGGTGAGTCAGGGGAACTACCTGCACTTGGCAGTAAGACTGGACAGACTAGGATCTGGTGGTTGGGCAAGGAGGATGAAACAACTCCATGAAAGTTTCTGTGCTAGGCATACTGGACTCTCCCTAAGGAGCAAGATCATTAGCTAAGGAATCACATGCATGATCCAGGAGACTCAAACATACCTGAGAAGGGGAAAGAGACAAGAAGAAAGGCAGAAAGGGGGAGAAGCCTGAAGTAGACAAAGATTCTTTTTATTCTGTACACACAACTACCAGTAATGTCAATGATTCTAAATATGTGGCTATATAATGCCTAGATCCATGATACCTTACATGCACAGTGTGATACTTTCATGTTTCCAAAGTGCTTTCACATAAATTATTTCATGTAAAAAGAATTCCTGGTCCTATCCTCCAATTGGAAAATACTATTCATAAGATGAAGATACTCAAGAACGTTGGTTTAGGTGTAATTCAACTTCCCAAGTGAGAACATATTCGTGAGGGGATCAGGCTTTAAAAAAAAAGTGAAGAGGCAGTGAATCAGGAAATTATTCCAGGATGAGCAACTAGGAAGACTAGAGGTAGCAGTATGATTAGGCTTACCAGACACTTGTTACTACAAAGATGGAACCAAGTAGAAGACGACAAGGTTTTGGATTAACAGTGCTAAGAATTTTTCAACACTATGCAGAATAACAATCATTTGAACTCCCTTCCACACCATCACATGTCTATCAATAGATTAAGGGCTGTGTTAAAAAGAAATAGGATGGTAATTTTTATATATAAACCGGGCCATTTCACCTTCTGAGTATGGTACACATACTCATTAGTCTACTATGTTCATCAGCCACAACACTTTAAAAAAAAATTTATCTTTATTGTTGAAAGTATTACAGATGCCCCTCATTTTTTTCCCCAGTCACAACACTTTTAGTGTGCTGTTTTTCAACTAATCAGAGATAAAGGTGCAATGTCAGACCACACGTTCTCTTCCCTGTGGTTGGAGGATGGGAGTAAGTTGATATGCTTCTCCCCATCCATAATACAGAGGAGAGTATAATGCTTCTTCCATTTTGACAACACCTTATTTCCCAACAGCCTGGCATATGCCCCTATACCTCAAGACATGCTTCTAGGAACTAGTGTTGTTGGGTCTGCTCAGTCTTCTTCTGGTGACAAGTTTTAGACTCTGTAAGTAAATAGTTGCCCATGCTGGGAAAATCATTCCTGTCGATGATCCCTTGTCCAGAACAAAACAGGATTTTTCAACTGAGAGGAGGACCAGGAGTCAGGAGACCCGGGTTCTAGTCCCAGCTTTGCCAATTGTATGACTTTTAGCAAGCCATGTAACCTTTCTGTCAAGTAGGGAAAATGATTACCTGCCTCATCTACCTTACATGTTGTCCTGAAAAATCAAACTACATAATAAATGTGAAAGCATACTGAATACTGTTATTCTCAGGTAAAGTATCCATAGTAACATAATTTAGCAAAATAAATTTAAAGTACTGAGGACCAGTGAGGAAATGCTTGAAAGGAGCTTGTTTCTTCTTTTCAATTACTGGGAACTAGGCCACAAAGTCAGCTGGACACACAGGGTAGTAACATTATTGCATCACTCAGATTCCCTACCACTCGTCTATTCCATTCCTATTTGGGGAGAAACTATCAGCTTCTGCAGATTCTAAAACCACCTGTATAGGAAAAAATTAGACTATCACTATCACAGCCCAGTCTCCAAGAACAGTGGTTCCTTCAGTGTTCTCATTAACAGCCACATTCGCTATTAGATGGAATGAAGTCAGTTTCTGAATGGGGACGGTGTCTGTTAGTCCCTCAGGCAAAACACCCTCACCCTTCTTAGCTTACTGCTCCTTCTTCAGCTCCCTCCTCCCCACTCCTCAATTTCCCGTGTGTCCTATGTTGGGGAAGCCTTTTCGGTGTGTGAAGCCTGCTAAGAAGGCTTGGACGCAAACCCTGGGCAGGGATGTAAGGAATGTGAGATTCCTTCCTGGACGGGTGGGAGGGGGAGAGGGGTAAGGAATGGAGGAGGAAGACAAGGCTGCCAAAGACAAGGCACGGGAGAGGAGCCAAGCTATGGCGCTTCGAGGGCGGGGGTTCAGGTTCCGCCGCCCTGTCCAGGCTGGCCCCCAGAAGGTTCTCTTCTCCTCCCAGTCCGTCAATCACTGTCCATTTAAACACCACGTTGTTCCCCCAGGTCCCCTCCTCCCAGTTCTCTAGCCCGCCCAGGCCCCCTCCTCCCTGTCCCCCAGCCCGCCCAGGCCCCCTCCTGCACTTCTTAAGGCTCCAATGGATCTCCCCAACAATCCACCCTTCCGCGCGCGCCCCTTCCTCACCTTCCGACTCTTCTCTATTGCTACTCCCTGCCTCCATTTTTATCTGTACTCCCATCCCTTATCCTGACCTCGAATATTTCGAACCCCGGCCCCAATGCCCCTGGGACTTTGCCCGGTCCCTTCCCACACCCTTTTAGATGGGAGCCCGCGCAGGCGCAGTACGCACCGCCCTGGAAGCGGTCTGGACTCTCCGTACCCCAGCCCGGCCGGAGCTGAGGCCGCAGCGGCCACGGGACAGCCCCGGTGCCGTGTCCCAGCCTTCCCTGGGAGGGGAAGGGGAAGGGAAGGAGAGGGAGGAAGGTTCCGACCACTCGCTGCTGTGTGAGACAGTCCTTTGCCCCGCCCACTGCTGCTACGCAAGCCGGCGGAAACTCGTCACCAAACCCCGCCTCTTTGCTTTAACTCAAATCGAGACTGGAAGCTACCAGAGGCCAACGAAGAAGGCTAGCCGGGCCTCCGCTTTAGACCGGAAGTCTGTAGAGCCTCAATGAGAACTATATAACGATTTGGGAGGGAGGACGCCAAGTACTTCTCAGGGGAACCTCGGGGGCGGATCCTGAGGCCGACTCCCCTCAAGGGCGAGACTTCGCTTTGGAGGGGCGCCCGTGTCCCGTGTCCTAAGGCTTTCGTCTTGAGTTGGCTGGCCTGGAGTGTGATCGGCCACCTGCCGGGCCCCTCACTAGTTTCTAGAACCGTGATCAGCATCCCGGAGCCTCCTGACTCTATGACTCACAGTCATGGAAGTGGATACTGTGTGACAGGGCGACCACGGGGTGGGGAATGGGGGAGGGTATGACTGCAAAGCTTTGATCAAGGGTGTCCAGCGGGTTACCATTCTCCCTAGCGTCACTCCTGCCATAGCTAAACACTCAGAATTCCCTGAAACATCTAAGGGGAGGAAAGGGAGATGAATTAAAAAAAAAAAAAGGTGGAGTCCAGAGATTAATTAAGCAAGCGAAGGCATTACAATTACATGAATTCTTGGGCTGATCTGATATTAAATAGTATTTGTTATGGATATTCGCTAAGTAAATGGTAATGTTCATATATATGCATTTGTTTATATGTAATTGGTTTATTTTTTAAATTCATTTATTGATTTTTTTTTTTCTTAAGAGAAACATCCGTTTGTTGTTCCACTTATTTATTCATTTATTGGTTGCTTCTTGTATGTGCCCTGCCCAGACAACCTTAGGTATCCGGTGGATGGTCTAACCAACTGGGCTACCCAGCCAGGGCTATATGTAATTGGTTCATGCACAACATTACTGAGCTAGCTACTTTTTGATTATCAAACAAGTACCAAAAGGAACTAAAGGTTCGGGCCTCCTCTTTTCAGTCATTAGGGGGGACCCTGAGATAACAACATTAGGAACAAGTGCCTTTCAAACGGTAAAAGGAACCAATGCAAATTTTGCTGTCTGCTCAAGATCCCATTTCTTCTAAGTGTGTCTTGCCTATTGTCTGTGATGTGAATGCCACTTTTTCCAGAGATCCTGACCAAGCTAGATAGTGCATTAAAGATGAAGGACCCCAAATCAGGAATAAAGATGAGGGTTAAAGCAGTTGGAGAATAGGAGGAAACTGCCTGCCATGTGCTAGGCACTGCTTTTTATATCATTTCCGTTTGCTGCTCTGCAAAATAGAATTACATAGTTAAGAATTGTCGGATAGTTCTGGCTGGTTTGGCTCAGCTTTTAGAGTGTTGGTCTGCGGACCAATGAGTCACCGGTTCGATTCCGGTCCAGGGCACGTACCTCGGTTGTGGTTCCACCCCAGCCCTGGTCAGGGTCGTGCGGGAGGCCACCAGTCCATGTGACACATGGATGTCGCTCTCTCTCTCTCTCTGACGATAAATGGGAAAATATCCTCGGGTGACGATTTAAAAAAAAATTGTTGGAAAAAGAAGTGAAGCGCCGAGCCAGGTTTCAAACTTTTGTCCCCTGGATTCCAAAACCCTTGCTCCTTTTCCCACTGTGTTACGTACGTCTAGGAGAGAAAATCTCAGATCCTAAGTGTATTCTCCCAGTCAAGTAAAGGAAAATTGGAACCAGATGCGCCCCCTTGTGGTCTTTCTCATTGAGGATCCCATCAGTTCCCAGGCTCCTTTAATACCTGGAATACGCCCCCTTCGCGGGGCGTGAATCTCGAGTCCCGATTGGCTAGACGGGGTCCAGTGGCGGTGCGCGGTGCACGCCAGAGCGGTGCTAATTGGTCAGAGGAGGCCAGAGTAAACTTCCGGGAATGCCCGCACTCCGGCGTTCCATTGGGCTGCATCCGGCGGCAGCGGGGCCTGTGGCTCCCCCTGCAGGCGGCTCAGCAGCGTACACTGTCCAGCCGTCTGCCTGGGTGGGTGGTGGGCTGTGGGTGGGGGAGGGGATGGAGCGAGTCTCGAGTTGTCCGGATGAGGATTCGGGAAGGTTTAGAGACTAAGATTCTATTCCCTGGCTCTGCACCGGATTCCCTAACCCCCCTCTCCGTCGGTTCCCACACCTCGGAGCTTGAGACTGAAAGAGCATCCCGGGCAGGGACATTTCAGCTCCGGAGCAGGCTATTCGGAGACCCCCAAATTCTGATCTTGAAGTCGGAGCCCCCGGGGAAGTTCATTTCTAACCTTTTGATAGAGTTAGAGTGTTTGAGGCTGCCTGACCCCAGCCGAGCGTGGTAGGTAGACCTTGGGAAGTGGAGCATGGGGGCGAAGGCTCCAAGCATTGAGTCTTCATCCCTTTTTCTTCCTTCTAGTGGGGTGCCGAGGCTCAGGCAGCATGACGACGGAGACCTTCGTGAAGGATATCAAGCCCGGGCTCAAGAATCTGAACCTCATTTTCATTGTGCTGGAGACAGGTGGCTATGCTGGGGCAGTGGGCCCCCTGCGGGGGTTCTCAGGGTTGGGGGGCAAATGGGGGAGAATATCACCTCTGGTCTTAACTTGCTCCCTGGGTGGCAGGGCGCACCCCAAACATGGCTCACTCCCAATCCCCTCCTAGACCCCAGCCCAGAGAGTTACAGTGAGATACAGGGTAGATAGAACTCTTGCCAGGTCCAAGCCTCCAGTGCCACACGGGCCTCTTTCCGTCCAGCGCCCTCTCTATGGTGCCGGCTCCTCCACTCCCCACCCCCACCCTAGCCTGCCCCAGAGATTTGGCTTTGTCCTGTTTGTACAACTTTTCTCTCACCCCACCAATATATCTGGATCTCATCCGTCCTACCACTCCCCGCTCCGTTTATCTGTTCCTTCCAGGCAGAGTGACCAAGACAAAGGACGGTCACGAGGTTCGGACCTGCAAAGTGGCAGACAAAACGGGAAGCATCAATATCTCTGTCTGGGATGACGTGGGCAACCTGATCCAACCTGGGGACATTATCCGCCTCACCAAAGGGTAAGCCAGCTGGTGACTCCTGGCTATCCAAGGGCAGTTAACAGTCAAGGGGGTGGGATTAACAGGCCCTGTAACTTTGAATCCTGCTTTTTGTGCCACCACAGGTACGCTTCAGTATTTAAAGGTTGTCTCACACTCTACACTGGCCGTGGGGGTGATCTTCAGAAGATTGGAGAGTAAGTGCTGTTTTGGGGATTGGGATGTAGAAGCAGCAGGCCAAGAGGGAAAATTTAAGGTTTGCAAGGAGGCAGCATGAGGGTGTGCAGTCTGTGTCCTGTATCTGGACCTTTCTGAGGCCTCCAGTAGTGGCCCAGAGGATGGGTCTAAGGCTTTGGCCACTTTCTTCCCTTGCAGATTCTGTATGGTTTATTCTGAGGTCCCTAACTTCAGTGAGCCAAACCCAGAGTACAGTGCCCAGCAGGCACCCAACAAGACGGTGAGTCCCATAGCCTCATGTGGGAGAGGGCAGGTCAGGCCAAGAAGCATGGTATGAAGCAATGTCTGTTTAATTTATGCCTTCAGGTGCAGAATGACAGCAGCTCTACAGCTCCCCAGCCTACCACTGGACCCCCTGCTGCTTCTCCAGGTAAACCTGTTTCATTCCATCCATTGGTCCACCTGCTTCCCTTCTCTTCTCAACCTGGAGAGATGCACTGCCCTGATCCCTTTTCCAAATCTCTCTTCTCTCAATATATCCCCTTCTACCCAATTCTTCTCCCAGTTTTTTTGCAAGTCTCTGTGGCAAAAAGATTTGGGGATCTGCTAGAGCTCTGGTACCCTTTTGCCACGACCACTCAAAGGCAAAAATGAGAACAGTTTGTTTACAAAGATTGTACTTCTTCATTCTAGCTTGTTTCTCTCTGCTTTTTGTCTGGCAGAAACTTGCCCTTTTCCCTTGCTCATTTTGATTCATTACCCAGTTTTAATATACAGCATTACTTATATGACTCAACATAGAGCCCAATCTGCACAGCTTTTGAGCACTAAATAGTTCGTTTTTGGAGTCACCACTCTTGAAACTAAAGGCCCTGCTTCTAGGCCTTGGGATTATGATTTTTCCATCTCATGTATTTTAAGTCCCCATTTTTTGGTTTCTTGAGGAATTGGGACCTTATTGCACATCATCAGCTTTTTTTGTTATCCTCACCGGAGGACATTTTTCCATGTTTTGTTCAGACAGAGTGGGAGGGAGAGAGGGGAAGAGAGAGAGAAACATGGACGTGAAAGGGACACATGGAGTGGCTGCCACCCACATGACCAACCAGAGCCGGGGACAAACTGCAACCAAGGTACGTGCCCTTAGCGAACCGAACCCGGGTCTCTCTGTACCGCAGGCCAACGCTCTAACCACTGAGCAAAACCGGCCAGGGCGCACATCATCAGTTTTTGATTAGAGTAATTTACTAACACCACCTCCTTTGTCTGGTAGTGGCTTCTCCTCAAGAACCTGATTTTTACTGCTCTTTTTTCTCCTTCTGGGTCATCTGTCAGCTGACCCTACTGCTCCCTGAGTGTTTGACTCTCTCTTGCCTCTGATCCACGCATTGGGTTTCTCCCTGTGACACTAGGCTTCAGGCTGCCTCTACCCTTCCTCAGTTTGTGTCTGCATCCCCAGTTACCATGGTTTTCAGAATTGTTTGTGTGAGAACCACCAGGGGTCATATGTTTTTTGGAAACACTATGGAATAACATTGAATTCCACCACAAAAATTAGCACCTGTGTTTTCAACTGAAAATACGACAATTACATCTTTTCAGGTCTCCATAAAAGTATTTTAATTACAATACATTTAAGCCTGTTTGCCCCAGTATTCCTTTGCCAGATGTTTATCCACTTTGTCTTCTGCCAGTAGATACAAAAGGCTTAACAAAAAACATGTTTCTGGCATTAAAAACTTAACATTGACTTTCTATACACTCTCTAAACTTTT